AGAGACAGCATCTTCTAGCACGGAGAAGGACGCATCCCGACGCTAACGGCTAACCTTTTTTTTTTTTTTTTTTTTATAATTCTGAGTTAATAATTCATACGCAGGAAGTCTCGCACACGTTCAAACTAAACTGTGTGAAGCAGAGGACTAATTTGTCCAATCGAGACACACAACGAACGTGCATATTTATATTTGGTAACACTACGGTTCTACAGTCAGTAAATACTAATGTGCTGCTGTTACCATGGCATCGCTGGATCAACAACAGAAACAAAGCAACAAAAGATCCGCAAAGCAGATGGACTCTCTCCACAGCTGACTCCATCACGCAGGGAGCCTTGCAAAGAGTTTTCAAACACCTCAAACTTTTTCATATCAGATCTATCTGTGTCACATATTGCCTTAGATTGTAAATTCACAAAGTATGGACTTTGATTAGACCATTTCCTTTAGCCTTCCTATTGTAAACTTGACTGTAGGTTTAGGGTCATTGCCATACTGGAAGAGAAACTTCTGCCGCAATCATTTTACCTCTTAAAAGGTTTACTGAAATTACCTCCACCCACTAGCTCCCCACAGTATGATGCTGCCACCACCATGTTCCGCCGTTGGTTCAGGGTGATTTCGACCACACACAGCCTTTTGAACATATGTGGTCTAGAAAATTACGTTTTTGTCTTATCTGAACACCTTCTTCTAAGTCTTTGTTGTGTTTTCATGGTTTTCTTTCATCAATTACTTTCCTCCTACTCTTCTTAAAAGCCCAAATTAGTGGAATGCACAACTAAAACCTGTCCTGTGAACAGATTCTCTGTAGATCTATCCAACTCCCAAATACCAAATAAAATGAAGCATGAAGTCCGAGATTGAGACATGACCAAATGTGAAAAAAATCATCAGCGGATATAATTTTTATTTTATTTTTTATTTTATTTTTATTTTTTTGCAAGACTCTGAAACATCAGCAATCATCTATAATTTCACTGATTATAACAAATGCTCATGACGAAAAATATGTTGCGATAGACTGAAAGTTCAGGAGCAAAAAAAAAACCGTGTCTGATGTGCTATGATTGTGTGTTTGCAGTGAGTTTAATTCCACTTTGCCAAGAGGAGCCCTTGATTGAAGGAGGTCTTTACGAGCCGGAGGAGGGGAGCGCAATTTCCTCCCGGCCTCCGCCAGTTCCGCTGAAATAACAGAGCAGAGGAAGCCCAGCTCCCCCGGGACGAGACACACACACGGACACACTGATGCACACGCAAGCCCGACAAGGCGGCCAGCACTGGACTTACAACAATCATACACAAAGACACACCTACAAGGCAACCCAGACATACGAACAGACAAAAACTCAGACAAACCGCCAACTTGTGATAGAATAATATGTTGAAAGGTCAACCAGAGGTAAAGGTGAATCACCTACATGTGCACCATAATACGCTGGAATGTTATCAAAAGTTAATTTACTTCAATAATTAAATTCCATGAATGAAACGTTTAGATTCATCACACAGAAAGTGATAATATTTCACAGATTTATTTATGGGGATTTTGCCGCTTCTAGCTACAGAAACCCCAAAATTCAGATTCACAGAACATTAGAACATTAGAAATGGAAAAAAAATCCTCACAGAAAAGTCTCCACAAGGAGCATAAGGCACAAAAGAAAAATGCTACAAATACAGCTTTTCCACATGGTGCAAGCAAGCAGAATACTAACAGAAAGTTGAGTGGAAGGGAAAAGCATAGAAAAAACCTCATTAAAGTGTTTTGAGGAGAACCACAAGAAGGGAGATGCTGCTGGAGTCAGAGCTTTAAGACGTGTTGCATCCCTTTTGTAAAGCTTATGATCAGAAACATCTTGACAAAGTCCTCTTTACTGAGTAAATTTAGCATATTATTGGATTTAAAGCTTCCAGCGATTGGAGCAAGAGAGAGACAGAATCTAAGGTGCTTCAGATTTTTGCAGTTTTCGCAAAAAAAAAAAAAAAGTTTGGGTGCCATGTCATCTTCTGATGTTGATCCACCCATGTTTTATCAAATCCAAAGTCAGAGCAGAGGTAGACTGGGAAATGTGACTCTCATAATAACAACACATTTAGCAACAAATATTTAAAAAGTGGCTGAATTTGGACTTACAGCAAACACAAACGCCACATAATGAGTAGACTGTCCACCTTATCACCTCTTTACCTCTTAAAACTTTTTCTGCTGCACTAAACAAGAACTGCCAGCTAATATATGGGAGGCATAGAGAGTCTGAAGGTTTTATACTTAAATAGTCAACCAATAGCTACTGCAGTCCAGTAAGTTTGTCGCACTACTGTACTGCGCAACAAACAGTTGCATACAGTAATAACAATAAATTTAGGTTACATTGTGCAACCCTGCTGAAAACCGTCAGAAAGAGGCTGCTTTAATTTTCCAGCAGGATTTCCAGCCCACACAGCCAAAAGTATTAACACCTGCTACAATGACCAAGGTAGCAGAGTGATTGTCCTGCCAGCGAACTTTCCAGAACCCTACAGAGAATCTCTATTTTCAATAGAAAAAGGAGGAACACCACACTAAACAACGACGACGAGCTGAAGGCTGCCATTACAGCAACCTGGACTTCCTTTACACCTGAGCAGAGGTGATCGCCTCCATGCCACGCCGCACTGATGCAGTAATTCATGCAGAAGGAGCTTTGAGTGCATTCAGAGTACAGTACACAAACTTACTTTTAACTGTTTGTGTATTAAACTATTATTAGTCTGGGGTTTTATTAGCTGTAAGCCATAATCAGCCAAATTAACAGAAATAAACGTCTGACATGCATCACTCTCTGTGTACGACTTTACAACACAAAGCAGCGCCATCGTTTACCTATATTACGGCAATAAATAAACTCTTTTTTTTTTATTTATCCTAGCCTGATTTCATTGTCGAATCCAAGTAATCAGAGTTCCCTGCATTTCTGAACTCTTCGGCAAGTTTGTGTCGCGATGAGCAGCTTGTGGGCAGGCAGGTGAAACCTCTTCCCAACAGCTGCTGCACTTTATGATCGCTTGCCTCATGCCTATAAGCGAAACAAGATCACTCAAAGTTCAGCCGTCAAACTTTCAAAATAAATGTCGGCATGAGGTAATTTGTGTCAGTAGGCAGGCCCGTGTGTGTGCGTGCTCGTGTGTGTGTGTGCGTGTGGGTGTGCGTTAGAGCTCATCAGCGAGGGAGTGCTGCTGCTGCAGCCATGCCCTGAGGGGAGTCAGTCAGTGGGGAGAGAGGAGAGACGCCAGTACAGGCCATACAAGTCCCGCTGCCTTACCTCCTCCGCCTAACCCTCACTGCCTCGCATGGACCTGCCAACATGTGCGTCAGTGTGTGTGTGTGTGTGTGTGTGTGCGTGTGCGTGTGTGTGTGTCAGGGTAATATTAACTTGGTGGGTTAGGCTTTAGGCTTCGCCACCACACAAGGAGAGGGAGAGCAGGAGAAAAAGACTGCAACAACAACAACCTTAAGGCTCTCATATCTCTGCTTACGTAAGTAACAAAGTTTTCTCCGTCACGACTGTAATTGAAGTGGAACTGCACAAGCCACGGCAGGCCAAAAAAACCAATCACTCTCAAATCTGTAATGAGCCTAAACATAAGCGAGCACACTCAGCGCCTCAAAATAATAAGACCCCCGTCGATCTTGCGTAATCTGTTTTGGCTGAAGCCCTTCCGTTAAGGCGCAGGTCTCCGTTGTTGGCTGAAAGAAATGTCACCAGTTTTACCTATATCACTCAAACACCTCCGGCTTATCAAAACCGCCTTCGCCTTGCGTGCCTCGCACACAATAATCAGCGGTAGCCATGCTCAGTAGCTCGCTAAGCCTCTTACACCCTTCCCTCAAGATTAGTGCTTGGGAGCGACGACAGATGCGCTCCGTGGTGATAAAAACACACACACACACACAGTCGGCTGCACCTGTGTGAACAGATTTGACGGCGTGCTTGCTCAAAGCTGACACACAGACGCACAGAAGGAGAAAGAAAAAAAAAAAAAAACAGAGTGCGGGGATGCCATAATCGTGACACACCTGCAAGGCCTCAAGGTTTGGCTCGGCGCCCTGGTTCGAGCCCCCGAGGAAAGAGCTAGGCAAACAAGAGTTCAACGGCGGACAGGTGAGGAGGAAGCGGATTCAGTCGGGCTGAAATGAGTCTGACCAACAATATGTCTAACGTCTAGGGAGAGTAATTGGCAGCTTGGCGCCTTCAACTAAAGAGCTTTTCAGTGTGGAAAAGATGAGAGTGGATCTGATGTTCACGCTGAGAAAAATCACCATCAAAGTTGGCGTGTGAGCCTGTGGGGTCCTCACCATGAGGGGTAAAAGAGCCGCAGCTTCCACATGTTCGCACACAAATCCCTCTGAGAAACGTCACCAAGACTGGTCCAACTTTTAAACAAGCTAAACATCCTTTAAAAAGTTGTAACAATATTAAATCAGTCAGTAGTGTGTGAAACAGATTTAGAGGATCTCTGATTTTTAGCTGTAAAAGAATTGATGTGAATCAATACGAAATGAAAAACCATTTGTTTAGATATTGCCAAATCTTGACCTCATCTATGGAAACAGATCCACATATATACAACCATATTGAATCTAATCTCAATCTAATTCACTCTAAAGCATAAATTCACATTCAGATTCAATTAAAAACAATCCAATTGGTGGAGTTCTCCATCTAACAAAGTTGGACCAATCCCACACACAAACATTTTCTCTTTATTTCCAGTGAAGTAAAAAAAATAATAATTAAAACAAACAAGTGTTTTGACCCTAAATAACTGCGTTGTATCAATAAATGTTCTGTTTTGTATTGATTTTCCTTCGTAGGAGGCTGCATGACCCTCACTCAACAAACTTTTAACCGTTTTTACTCCAAACACAAAAGTAGCATTTGTGTTTCGATGAAATAAATAAAAGCAGCAAGTATGAAGAAAGGTCTGAGACGATGCTGCAGCAGCATTCTTACCACTGGAGACGAAATCCGGCAGCCAGGACAGTCACAAATCGGAGGGTGCACCTGTAAGATTCCTTTGGACATGAGAGTCTTGAGACTTTTTCCTGAAAACCAAGAGAGATGCACTTCAGTGGACATTTAGGAAGGAGTCAACATTTCTCCTCTGTCTCATATGACATTAACAGTTCAGGCTTTTCACATCTCCTGTAGATGAACTGAGCATATACTCAGTTAAGTTCCAAGATAATTGTACCCACTGCCCAGTGTGGGCTGCTAACGAGACTACTGTCATCTGTCCATAAGAACTGATATAACTAACTATTAGGCTAGCAGTTTGGACCTGGGGGCGCCATCCCTCCCCCGCACGCACACACATCTTAATGCGTCCTGCCTCTGCCTGTTTGTGTAAGAAAGAGTGCAAAAAAACTGGACGCAAATACACTAGAAAATGCATCCAAACAAGGCAAGATAACAATAACACAACAGAATGACAGCTGGTCAGATTATTTAAGAGCTAAAGTACCGAACTCCAGCTAAATTCATCCATAACATAAGCTATGAAATTGCTTGAAACACGTGTAAATGTGTCTAAAGTTACTTTAAATCCAGCATAAACTGCGTAAAGGCATCAACTCCCAAGCAGGACTCCACGATCCATCCCGCCAAAAACATTCAGTAAATATTTTTTATTTTTTTTAAATGCAGAGTGTCTTAATTTGCATCTATGTCTTACTTCCACCTCATCCCATCCAGATGCCCCGGTCTGGTGAGCGATCGCAGCCCAAAGTCTGTGTCAAAGCCTCGGAGGGAGTGTGGAGGCTACCCATGCGCCTTTTACCCATCTGTCTCCTTACGCACTGACGGCTGTAACCCTTTCACTCCAAAACCCAGCTCGCTTCGCGCAGAGTGGACTCCCTGAAGCTTTAAAGTGATGATAAAAAAATGTTTTCCTCCCCACAATATGAATGAAAGTTAGTGCCGCTCTTACCTTTGTGTCTAATGCTCCGCTTCCAGTCTTTGGCAGTCTCCCGTCCACTAACAAACTGGAACTCGTTGGGGGTGAGCCACTCGCCCCTGTATTTTATCGAGGGTCCCTTACTGCCCTGACACAGTTTGTTGATATAAAGCAAAGCCTTGTTCTCGCCGCACTCCACCTCGATGCACGGCTCCCCGTTGTCGAAGAAGGGCTGAAAGTCCGGGATGGAGGAGAACCTCTCCAGCATCAAGTCGTCCGTGTGGTGGTGGAGGTGCTGGTGATGCAGCGCCGAGTCGTGGAGCCCCAAGTACGCGCGGTGATGGGCGAAAATGTGCTCGTAGGGCGGCGGGTGCGGGGTCACCACGGGGATGGCGGTGGCATTTAAAGGGGCCAGGTATTCGGACTGGTTGAAGGCGGTCAGAGCCATGTCGTCTCCATCCAGCCGCTCCTTCTTGATGGCAGGCATGTTAGTGGGAGCCGAGCGCCGGGAACGAGTGAGAAGCTGCGCGCCCGATCCAACTTGAGCGTCCTCCTGGCGTGCAAGCGGGGCTGAGCCAGACTGGAAGACGCGCCGCTCGGTTTTACGCAGAGGAGCCCCCGTGTCGCCGTGAGAGAGCGGTCTGCTGAAGTTGCCGGATAGATTCCCATTCAGTAGTTTCCAGCTCGCAGCGGCAGCGTCGCAGCTCTCCTACCTCCCACATTTAATCTCGCTCGCTCTGCTAATACCTGACATGCTGGGAAGCCCTGAGCCACTTACATTAGGTTAGATCACCACTGCTCAGAGTGACTCGTCCTATCACATTTGGGTAAAAATTAAAAGATTTTTTTTTAATTATGATTATAATGAGGCGAAATTTAAATAAAGCCAGACCAATTACTTCCAAGGGCAAGTAGGGAGTTATATATATGACCAGTATTCAGTTTCACAGCTGATCTAAAAAATAAAAAAATAAAAAAAAATTAAATAAAAATTAAATAAACCACATTGCCACACGTTTTCAATCAGAAACCAAACTCAAACTGAGAAATTTTTTTTTTGCGTCATTAATGCCGCTGTAAGTTTAGAAAGAGTTGTTGAGATTCAGACTGCTGGGTGTTGCTGAAGTCACGCTGAAGTTCACAGACCCAGACCAAACAAGATTTGCACTCTCCGCCGCTTCTCAACTTGGCCCATTTAAACAGCGGAGGCTTGGCGAGAGCGCGGCGCAGGAAGGAAGGAGAGGGGGGCGGGAAGGAGGCCTGCGAGGGACGGCGCTTCAGCGACAAAAAAAAAAAAAAGAAAGAAAAAAAAAGCATGCAGGAACCGTGAACTGGGAGCATGAGGAAGTATAACCTGCCACGAACTCAACAGATTAAAAAGAAACAAGCTAACGGTTTCATTTCCATCTACAGCCACTGTTCAGCATCAATGAACAGAAATATTCTGTAAAACTAGTCAAAAAGAGTTTAGTTTATGTTGCAGCTATAAGTGACATGAGCTCAAACTGGGATTTTATTGACTTTGACACTTACTAATTTCAGCAGGCGCCGGAACTGAGAGCAAAAGTATGATTATCTACATAGGACATCATTATATATAAAGGCTGAAAAATATACATACAACGCGTTAATGTTTGGATGATTAGACAATTGAAGAAACCACAAACTTTTTGCAGTTTCAGTGAATTTTACCCATCTTTTTCTGGCACAGTCCACAGATTTTCAATATCGCCAAGTCAGGGCCTTTGGTTTAGCCTTCTTTCGTCATTTCAAAACCAGTTCTCATGTGTCTGGAAAGATTGCACACCCAACAAGTATCAATCATCTTACCCAAACTCTCCTCCTCAACAGAAAGGAAATATGTTTAGGATCCACCAATGGCTCTTTTCACTAGCTCCTACTGGCTGCCTTGTAAGTGTTTTTGATCACCTAGTTCCCCTTTTTTTTGCACCTCCTTTGCTGGGGTTTGAACATGTTGAGTCAGGCTGAAAACCCAACATCAGAAGACTATTGGTCACAAGTAGAGAGAATTGTTGTGTCACAAGAGTGACTCTGTTGATGGCTTCTTACAGGTACAAGTGAACACAAAAACAAAGTCATGAGGAGCTTAAAAAGCTGCAGCGCCATTACCGGACCATCAAGGACCACAACGAATGGTTCAAACCAAAAAACAAAATGGAAGTGGTACGACCAAATAGCATTTACAGGCACTGATCAGCAAGCAAAGTTGATTCGACTCTGTTAGTTACTGGTTTCCACAATGGATGATGGCGAGTCCTGAACAGAAAGCTGCAGTCTTACAGTTCAAAGTAAAGTTACTTTAAAATGAACATGAGCTTAGAAGGTGGCGACCAAAAAAACAGTCCTTTCTTCAAATTGGATGCCTGCAAGTTAGTTTGGAATGTGTAATTCCCCACAAGGATAAACCAGATGCCTTTTGGAAAAAGGTTTTATGATTTGATGAGACAAGCATTCAGATATTTGGCACAGAAAAGATTTTGTACAGGTAGCTCAAACTTGGACAAAGACCCCAAAACACACCAAAAATCATATGTAGCATCAAGGTGCAATTTGGTTAGAGACATTCAATAAAATGGAAAAAACACTGAGTGTATGTATTTAAACCTTTGAGTGTTAATTACAGTAACAAATTTGGGCTACCAATTTTTCTGGTTTTAAAAATCATTGAACTTGTACATTGTTCCAGCATGTATGAAAAAACTTCAAAGAAATCACAAAGTGTCAAGGGAACCTGAAATCCATGCCAGTGATGAGTTTCTGTACATTTTCTGACCGGTTCTGGTGAAACAGAGAAGTGGGCTCCTGAGTAGAGGCCACAGGCCACCTGAGGTATCCACAAAGGCCCACACTGGCAGCTCAAACGCTCTGGGTGGGGTACAGCCTCCTGTCTGAATGCAACCATCTATTTGTTATACTTCACCTACGATAGCTCCACCTCGTCTCCTGCTACCACACAGCACCACCCAGCTGCTGCAGTCAAAGACGTCAAACCTAAACACCTCTTAAGCGTGTCAGGCATCAGGGTAAACATCACAAAATGTGAAAACGTTGAGAGACGTGACTGTTATTTCACTCACTAAGAAGTTGTTTTTAATTTCTTCCACTATGAAATAAAGCAAAACGAGAAAACAGGCTGGATTGTTATGTACTGGATCCCCAAAATACAGCGTAGTATTGATAATCTAGTCCAATTTTATGATGTTGCAGACACAATCAATGTATTTTATTGGGATTTTATGTGGAAAAACCAACACTAATCAGTACATAACTAAAGTAGAAGCAAAAGGAAACATGGTTCTGAAAACGATTAGAAGCATATAGGAGAAGGTTCTCTGGTACAATGAGATCAAAGTTGAACTTTTTCACCTATATACAAATAACACCACAGATTACCTGAAATGAACCATTTGTGAAAACATGATAACGGCCGCATCATGCTGTGGGTCTGCTTTTTTTTGTAGGGACAAAGAAGCTGATAGGAGATAATGGAAAGACACATTTAAAAGACTTTAGATTGGGGTAGAGATTCATCTTCCAGCACGACTTCAACCTTAAACATAGAGCTACAGACCAAAGCACAAGCTAGATTGGCCCAGTCAAAGTCCTCTTGTCAATCCAATTAAGAATATGAAGCAAGACTGAAGATGAAAACTAATGCTCATAGGTGTCATTTAAGTTTGAGTCAATTTGCAGAGAAGAAAGGGCACAAATGTGTCTCCAGATGCTCAAAGCTGGAAAATACACCCCAAATAAAACACAGCTTTATGGCTTTTATTGGTAAAATCTTTTGAAAACCGTCTTTCCTTTCACTTTCACAGCTTACAAGTATACACAACAAGCACTGATACAGAGAGGACCTGCAGAAAAACATCAAGCCTGTTGATGTGTCTCTCTATAGGTCATGTAGGCCTAAGTTTTAAGAGTGCCTCCTTATAAAGAAAGCACTTGCAGAAAGGATTTTTACAGCTTCAGAGTTTTAAATTCTACATTCCTTCTGGTGTAGGCTAGATTTACCCTTTTCATTTTACTTAACCAGGTTTACTTGTAGAGATATAAGTAAACTGTGAACACCTGTGGCTTTAACTGAAGAACAAGCCTGGAACCAGATTTTTCTAAATCCCCCCCCCCCCCTCCCCCCCTCCACGCTGTCTGCGGGGCAGGTTCCCCTGAGCTCCTGGAGCTGCTAAGCAAAACCACATCTGACCCCCATCCAGCGGAGAACCACCCAGGTGGATCTCACACAGACACATGGAATAGCCATTCCAGCAGCAGAGGAGGGGTCCAAAGCGCAGTGTGTCAGGAGCTTATAAATCAGCCCAAACTGCCTCTGACACACACAGGAAGGAGGCACGCCACACACCGCAGGCGGAAGCGGTGCAGGAGGCGGCCAGGGTCCAGAGCCTGGCCGGAGCTGGTGTGAGGCCTGCAGCCAACGGCAGGCGGGCAAACACCCAGCAGAAACACACGCCAGCAGCTACCTCACTGTGACGGCGGACTGTAAACGGACATGTTTCCACTTGGACTGAAGGAGCTGTGATGTCTGAGGGGAATGTAATGGAATTAGTGGTTTTGTGGAATAGGCGAAGAGCGGAGAAGATTTTACGCGCAGAGCAGAAGAAAAGCAAAAATAAAGAGTAGCTGCCATCACTCATCTCAAAAAAAAAAAACAACTAAAAAAATAAAACAGCCAAACAGCTCATAGTGAAAAATGAAATTGAAAGGTGACATTTTTTTTTTAGCTTAACAATAATGTCAGCTGCCACATGTCGAGTGCGCCGAGCAGCGCTGCTGACATCAATCTTGAACTGCTGACATTTAGGGCGAATGTTTACAAAGCCGTTTCAAGGAAGTGGAACGCTACGTTTCAGATGAGAAGCTCTCTGATTCTGTGTTCATCAAACCAGCCCTCGCCACATCGAAATGTCTCGATGGAAACCTCGCCGATCGATGCGTTGGCGTTGGAGCTGCACCGCCGGGAGAGCCCTGATGAAACTAGTCATAAAGGGGACACCCATGCCGACACCCACTACCAGTCCCTGATCAGTGACTCACCAACTGGGGCTAATCACAGAGGGGTTCCCCAAACCTGAACAGTGACAACACTCAAGCTTTCACAACGCATTAAATTTGGCTCATGTTAAATGAGTAAATTTTTTCCATCAGCACGCAGTGTGGCTTTAAGAAAAAAAAAAAAAGCTTTTCATACCAGGGAAACCTTCTCTAACCTTTCATACTTGTTACCGACTTCTCTACATATCTAACAGATATCTTCTGTTTAACGGTGAATTAGCATGCAACCGTATTACAGTAAAAGAGGTGCGCTGTTCTCATGCTGCCTCCATTTTGTTTGTGCGACATGTATTTGTCAACGACTCAGCTTCATTACCATTACCGATGTTGATAATTTCACAAAAATTTGACTATCGTGAAGTGGTTTTGAATCTTCTTACTTTTTGACATACATTAATTAGACCTTCTTTAGCTACAGCTCTCGTCTGTTGAGACTCAAGTGTTTCATTTAAGATCTGACTGTCTTTCAGTGAGAATTTAGGTGAATAACTTTGCGGTACAGCGCCTTACTAAAGCTTTCATCAGGTTTTTTCCATTATGTCACTTTACAACTATAAGCTCCAACTCGTCTTGCTGGGTTTTATGCGACAAAGTTTGCGTCTCATACTGATGATACCAAATATTCATATTTTTTGGCCTGAAAATATGAGAACATAATGTCTTGTCTGGTGGCCAAACAGTTCAATTGTGGTTCTCATCAGACCAAATAACTTTCTTCCACTTGGCCATGGAGTTTCTCCCACAGGCCTTTTGGCAAAATGTCTGCAGTAGAGCCTTCATCTGAGTTTTCTTCAACCGTCTCTTTCTCATTGCATAAAGCTTTAACTGGTGATGAACCTGGACAAAAGTTGCATCCCTCGACAGTTGAAGCTTGTATCTCCTTCAGCGTAGTCATGGTAACCTGGCGTCCTATCTCGCCTCAGTTTGTGAGGACAGCCTGATCTAGGCAGATTTACATACGGGACATAGTCCTTCCATTTTATGGTGATGGATTTAAGTCAACTCCAGGGGATGTTCAGGGCTTTAGAGATTTGTTTTTATCCATCCCCTGACTTATACCAATTGCACCAACTGGATGGACCCTTGTTGAATTAAGTTAGTCACTTTAAAGGGAGTGAATATTTATGCATTTGCTTATTTTATGTTAAGCATTTTTATGTAATTGTCAATATTTTTA